ATATATATATATATATATATTTACATATGTTATATGAAATGTGTTTGAAAATGTAGGTTTTCTTTAAAGAAACGTATTTGATGGTAAATATTTGTATTATTTTACACTAGACATGTGCATCTTGTCTAATTTTAATTATTATTGTTTATTGGTATTTAAAAAAATACAAATCTGTACAATACAATAATTGTTTCATGACATTCTGTGTTTATTCTGAGGTTGTGTGAGGACATGCAGCTACTTTGATCTACAGGCAGAGATTTAGGATTTATAAATATTCATTATTTTATTTGTAGTTATTTCTTGTTGTTGTTGTTTGTTTTGGGGGATAAATAAAGTGGACAGAGCACAGTGTGGTGAACAGAGAACTTCCGGTAACCTTCCAGATGTGTCGCACCAGGACGGACGGACGGACCGGACCGTGACAGGGCGGCGCTAGGACCCGTCGGACGCGGAGCCTCCTCTTTGTCTCCACCAGTCGGAGCCTCCTCTTCCTCCTCCTCCTCTTCCTCCTCCTCCTCTTCCTCCTCATTCCGTGTCTGTCTCCAGCAGCAGCGGTCTGATGCTCGCAGGGAATCATGGCTGTGAATCTCGCTAAGAACAGACTCTCCCTGCTGACCGCCTACCAGGACGTCATCGACGAGACCTCGGACACCGACTGGTGAGTCCCTCCGCCGGCCTGCCTCCCCTCCTCTCTCCCCCGTCCTCCTGCATCACCGCTGTCCTCCCGGTTTGTCGGTCGGTGCAGGTTTTGTCGCTCGGGCTCGGTGCGCGCTGAGGATGCAGCACCGGCCGGAGCGCACCGAGCATCACCGGTGCCAAGAGTGGAAGCGCGGCCCGGCTCGGCCTCTGGGCTCGGCTGGCCGGCTGTCAGGGTCCGACCCGCAGCTCCCGGTCCGGAGCTGGGATTCGGTGCGAGAGGGGCTGCCCGAGCTGCCCCGCACTGCAGAGTCCGGGGCAACGTGCGCCGCCGTGTGCGCACCGGACGGATAAACGTGCAGAGTTCTGCGCCGCTTTGTTTCCGCTCCGTCGGGACCAGCTGGAAGCAATCTGGGGCTGTTTGTGCGCTGCGCTGCGGCGGTGCGTCGGTGAGGAGGAGGACGGGCCTGGTCCGGACACACCGATGAGCCCCTGCATCCCTAAAGGAGAGGGGCGAGGCCGCGGGGTGGGTGAGGGGAGGCGGGGAGGGGAGGCTCCATCAGCAGCCTTTGTGGCCTTTAATCAGCGGGGAGAGTGAAAGCAGCTCCAGAAAGTTCACAAACACGCTGGATTTGGCTCCACATGCTGGCTGCTGTATCGATTCCAGCCATTTGTGGTGGAATCTGAAATATTTGCTGCAGAAACACAACATGTAGTTTGAATTTGTGGCACTTTGATAAATGAGGAGGTGTGACTCAGAGGGAACCAGGAAGAGGAGGATGCTGGAGCCTCAGCAGCAGATTAGGAATTAAAGAGGTGAATAATGAAGAAAATGACAAAATAGGACAATTAATGTGGCTTCAACTGTTAACAAAACAACAAAAAATACCAGTTTGCAGTTTAACATGAAGGAATCCAGGTCCAGAAAGTTCACAGGATTTGGCTCCACATGTTGGGTTTTGTATTAATTGCAGCTATTTGTGGTGGAATCTGAAATATTTGCTGCAAATTTCTGGCACTTTTAACGGATAAATGAGGAGGCGTGACTCAGGAAGAGGAGGATGCTGGAGCTTCAGCAGCAGATAAAGAGGTGAATAATGAAGAAAATGACAAAATAAGACAGTGAATGTGGCTGGAAACACTAAAAACCAGCAGCTAGCATCCGTCGGTTCAACCAACAAACTACACCTGAGCTTTAATGATCACCGTCTGAATGGCTGGAAGAATAAACGCACGTCTGAAGTCGATTACTCCTAAAAATAAAACTGTTCCAACGAGTTTTTCCACGTTATTAATAATAATAATTATTATGAAAACAAGTCGGTAAATGTAAAACCAACCCGGCGCTCAGACGGGGAGGAGACTGGACTGTCCTGAACTGAAACGAAGATGATTTTGTTCTGAAGCTGATTTAATGAAGTTACATCAGGTTCAATCAACTCATGTGAGTTTGAGTTCAAGTTGATGCGACTTTTTTCAGCTTAACTGAACAAAAAGCTTTATTTAAATCCGTAAATCTGAATTTTCATGCCACACATTTAACTAAACGGTGATAAAAGACGTCTTTAAGGACTTTATTAAAACACGTCCGTCCTCCTTTTTAACATGATTTTTATTCACAGATTTATTTTTCGTTGTAAATGTGGTGATAAATGATGTAAATTATTAAAATGCTAACAGGTAGCTCATATTTAGGAGACTTTAATGCTCCTATAATGTCAAAAAACCCACAAATTTCTTAAAAATTCTAATCTTTATCGACTCTTTTGTACTTCAGACGAGCAAAGTCCGTGTTTGTAGTGATTTTTATGGATGTTTTCGTGCTTATTTAAAAAGAAAACGAAGCGACGATAACGTTGCCGGTGTTTCAGGAGCTGCTACCGAGTTAACGAAGCAAATACAGAAGCACTGTGGAGGTAATATTTGACTCTGAGCAGGTTTCAGGTTAAACTGTAACCGAGCGTCCTTGATGGAGATAAAAAAAAACAAAACATCCTCGTTAGTGTCAGAAAACGTTAATTAACAAACGCAGGCGGTTGAAGCGGAGCTCTGAGCTGATCCTGGTTTGGGGGACGACGAGGTCACAGGTTCTGCTTTCGGTTCTGGTTTCAGTTCCACGTTTTTGTCTGTTTTTATATTTCTGAGGAGAGAAACTTTTACAGGAATTCAGCTTTATTATCTGCTGCTGCCACGTTTTTAGTCACCGTTGGCTCGTATGAAGTCCTGCAGGAAACAGAACAGCAGCGATTTATAAATGTGTTGAGTTTAAATGCCTTAAATCATTCAAAATATGTACAATTTCTTTAGCAGCATCTCCACAGGTGTTACCAAAATGGAGACGCTACATACTTTAGATTTTTACAACCTCTACCAATGTCTGTGAAGATCCTCACTCATCCAGGTCATGGTGACTCTCGTAGATTAATGGTAGCAACTGGACTTTCTTGAGTTCCTTGAAGACGTTTCATCCAAAAGGCTTCATCGGTTCTGACTGACGAGCTGGGAGTTCCACATACTGACATCCTGAAGGATCCATTAGAACTCCCAACTAGTCAGTCAGAACCGATGAAGCCTTTTGGATGAAACGTCTTCAAGGAACTCAAGCAAGTCCAGCTGCTACCATTAAACTCCGAGAACATCCTCCTCTCTCTGCTCACCAGCTCTGTGCTTCACTGTGCTCGCTGTACTCGCTGCTCTGTTCACCGTCTCCTTTATTTTACTGCTCCGGTGTGTTTTTAGCGCCACCTGCAGTTCAGTCTGAAAACTGTCGGTCACAGCTGAGTCCTTCACGGCTTCTCAGTTGCTTCAAGAAGTGCAGAAGTTTTAGCTTTTTACAGAATCTGGTTGTTGGAAACAGTTTGTTTTTAAGTGCCGACAGATGCTAGCAATGCTCGGAAATAACGGCGGCTCCACAAGCTGTAAATATTTCATAATTAACATTTCTACCACCTCTGCAGACTCACAATCTGTCGTATGTTGTTGTTCTGGTGCGTCCCTGTTTCCTCTGGATGCACCGCCTGCAGTTCAGCAGGAAAACTCTTTTTATGTTTTGGTCACATGACTCTCAGCTGAGTCAGTTCAGGCTTCTCAGTCGAGCTCAGAATTATTTTCGGCGTTAATTTATGATGAATTTTTAAATGGAACGAGCAGAATGAAGGGATTTTGATTAAATGTTCAGATTTCTAGGCTCAGATTTGGATCACTGTTCCTGAAGCTTGACAGAAGATTCGCTCCAGGAGACGTTAGGAAGCTGAAATCCGATGATTCGTTCTGTTTTTACTGTTTCACTGATAAATTGTCATTTAGGGGATTTTTTTTTAAACAAACAAAACAATATTGAGCAGAAGGCGAGAACTGTTTTGTGCCATAAATCGTAAAAAAGAAAAACGCTGGATTTCTTTGATTATTTTTTATTTTGCAGAAATGGTGAAACAGGAAGGTCCATCGTTTTCACAAGCGTCCACCTTCACTGATGGAACTGTGGCTTCTATTATCTAACTGTGGTATATTGCAGATATTTCACGACATACTTTTGATTTGTTTCCATCTGTTCTGTGGAAACTCTGTCTGCACTTCAAACGAAAACTCAGAATTTGATTAGTTTCTGTTTTTTACAGAATCTGGTTGATGCAGACGGATTATTTTCTAAATGAGACATGTATTTTGTTCGAGCACTTTTGGTTTTTAGTTTCTGGCTGATAAATGAAGTTGTTCTCGTGATTATTTTCACATATTTAAATTCAACTTTGGCTGTGTTTAGAGAGTTAAACTGAATTGATTTCCTGAACTTTGTACGTTTTAGCTTTCTGGCTGCCGGTTGGACGTGAGAAGCTCCTCGATGCAGCTGTTTGATCTTTTAATTGAGACGATAATCGGTTGATTAATCGATAATGAAAACAGGGTTAGCTGCAGCTGTCTAGGTGACTCATTGCACACGAGGTTGGCAGAGAAATCGCACATCTTAAGAGCTAAATAAATACATCGGAGGGTTGTTAAACCAGATTTTTCTGAGAGAAACAAATACTTTGACAGGTTTTTAAATTAGTGCAGCTGACGAGCAGACAAACCGGATCGCGGCTGGACATCTGGTGGAGGCTTGTTCAAGCCAAAATGACAAACATGTTGCAGTTGTTGCTTTGAATTGGGAAGATTGTGCTGATTGTGTTGGTTACAGACGTCTGAATGATAAAGAAACTCTTCAGACTGAGCTAGTTGGACTTTGGGAGCACCTGAAATGCAGTTTAAGGGTTTTAAACTAATACTCTGAGCGGTCTTGCACCTTATTTTGAATCTGCTAACAGGTTTTTGATTTACGCAGCTGGTTTGTCAAGCAAAGAATTGCAAATGTGTCCTGATTTCTGCTCTGTGAAATGCTGGATGGAGTGAGACAATAATCAGATGAGCTGATACTGGACGTAGTGTTGGTGTGTTTTGTGTTGAAGTAAGACACCTGGAGATTAAAGTCACTGGAAAGCTGTTGGGCCAAGTTTAGAGATGAAAACAAACACTGTTGGAGGTCGTCTAGCTTCCTGGTTTTGTTTTAAAATAGAGGAGAAAGCTTTGAAAGATTCATATTTAGTTGCTGCTCTGGGCTTCTTCCTGATTTTTAAACAAGTTTCCTGCGTTTTAACCTTTCGGAGTGACGAACCAACCGGCTGTGTTCTTGTAGATTGGTGCTGAAAAGAAAACCAGGAGCTGCTCCGTCTGAAGACCTTTAATGACGGCCTGCTGAAGGAGTCCACATGTGGAGGAGTTAGGAAGTAAACACACCTCCACTCTGGAGACTCTGGTTTCGTCTCAGACTGTTAAAGCTCGACTCTTGTCACCAAAGTCTCATTTAGACTTTTCGCTTTTCGCTCTGTTCACTTCAGTTTTCAGGGTTTTAGTTAATTTTAGGCGACAAAACTCCTTGGTTCGGTTTAAGCAACAGAATTATTTGGTTCGCTTTGAGAGACCCAAACTATTCAGTTAAGCTTAGGCAACACGACGACTGCATCTGGTTAAAGATAGAATCTACAAACA